TTGAACTCCAGGCCCAGAAAAGCAGCAAAACCAGGTGGACGACACCAGGACCAGCTGCAGTGACTAAGGACCCAGGACACTGACCAATAGTGGAGACCACGACCCTGAAGGAGCACACCTGGAAAACTGATGAATATTTTGTTGAAACCCTCCCCTGAGACCACGCCTAAGATTCCAGCCAGCAAGAAAGAGAAAAGCCTCAAGACAAAGGACTTGGCCCGCACCAGTCCCTTTCCCCTCTCCTTGCCTCCCTTCTTTCCCCACAGGTATGCATCTCCTAAACACAAAGGGACCCCATGAGGCTTGTAACCAGGGCAGCAATGGGCAGTGGCAGTTCATCCCGAGCTAACCCCTGGAACCTGTCCCCAAGGCCCCCTTTTCTCTGACTTCTTAGTGAGCCAAAGCAGACCAGCCTAGGCTCATTTCCCTAGTTCTTCCTTGTTTCACTGTCCCCAGCTTTAATAAATGTCCTCTAAAATTCACCTGGACTCATGTTGTTAAATTTTTCCTGCATGAAGTTAAGAATCCACATGCTACCAGCCGGCCCTAGGCAGACCCACTAAGGGTCAGGTCCCCTTTCCAGTAACATAAGGAACAGAAAATCTGATGATGAAGATGATGGCAGCTTTTAGTGATAATTAGCACTAGAGGGACATAGACATAGCATAGTGGTAAAGAACACCAGTTCCAGATTCAAACCACAAAGGTTTGAATCTCAGCTCTTCTATTAACCAGCTCAGTGAGCTCGGCCAAGTTACTTAACCAATCTGTGCCTCAGCTTCCTCATATGTAAAATGGGGACAACAGCATGTATTCCATAAGTTTGTTTTGAGGATTAAATAAGTTAATACATGCAGAACCCTTAGAATAGTACCTGGTACATATTAAACACCTAATATATCAATAGTAATTACTATCACAGGTAACAAAAGGCTCAGGTGTTGCAGTCAGACAGATAGATGGGTTTGATTGATACTTCCAGAGTCCAAGTTTCTTCCTCTATGCTATCTGCCCCTCTACACTAGTTCTGTCTTATTTATTAAAAAAGACTCCAGCCCGACCGGGCATAGCTCAGCGGTTGAGCATCGACCTAGGATCCAGGCGATAAGGGTTCGATTCCCGGTCAGGGCACATGCCCGGGTTGTGGGCTAGGCAGCTGATCAATGACTCTCTCTTCATTGATGTTTCTATCTCTCTCTCTCCCTCTCCTTTCCTCTCTCTGAAATCAATAAAGATATATATATATATATAAAAAGACTCTAGTACATAGTATAAAGAAACAAAAGCTAAAATAGGGGCAAATAAAAAACTGCAGGTACACAGGACAGAGGAGTTACTACCTACCAAGGGGCAAAGAGTAAATGTGAGGGTATCAAAAAGACTTCAAAAGGACCCTAGAATTTGAGCTGAGCCTAAAAGGATGGACATGTTTCCCTAGACAGAGAAAGGATTGTGAGAGTAGCGACAATAGAGTGAACAGTGGGGAAAGGCACAGAAGTAATAAAGCAGAGTATAATTGGGTCGGGAAATAGCAGATAGCCCAATGTGGCTTGAGTGGAGGCAAAGTGGAGCAGGGTTTGGATTAGGATGAGGCTCCTGAGAGTCAGTGTCTCCTCAAACTGGGTCCTTATCTCATTCTAGTCCTGACCCTGACTTGGAAGAATGTGGTGGGAGATGGAGTCGGAAAGGTGGAATTGTATGGAAGGGTGTAGGGCCTCGAAACTCTGCATAGGGAACCTGGTAGTATTTTACAGATGAGATCTCATTGAAGGGTGCTCTTTTGAAACTGGGGACAGAGTGTGTCAGTGGGTGCTAAGAGTCTCTAGCTGTGCAGTAAGAAGACACCTTTTTTCATTAGTGACTGGAGAGATGACAAATCCACTCTTATTTTATCCCCAGGCTGGTTAAATGACTTTTCTTTTTTAATCCTCACCTGGGGATATGTTTTTCATTGATTCTAGAGAGAGAGGAAGGGAGAGGGAAAAAGAGAGAGAGAGAAATATCGATGTGAGGGAAAAACATTGATCGGTTGCCTCACGCACATGCCACAACTGGGGATTGAACCCATCACCTGGTTATGTGCCCTGACTGGAATTGAACTCAAGACCTTTTGGTGCACAGGACAATGCTCTAACCACTGAGAAACCCCAGTCAGGGCTCAGACGACATTTGAACAGACCCTTATTATCTTATTACATGAGATTCATGTAATATTTATCCAAAAAGGGGGCAGAAACAAAAGGGCCACATGAGTGACAAGGTTTTTAATTCAACTATACCCCAGAAAAAAACTGAGAGGTGATCCTGGCCAAGGAGTGATCAGAACATAGATAATCATCTTCATTCTTGGGCACACACACACACACACACACACACACACACACACACACATACACACACCTCTTACCCTGCCCTCTGGCTGAGATTTAAAAAATCCACAGGTGTGAATTGCTTACGTACCTGCTTCTCATGAATCTGGGAATAAGCAGTATGAAGCAATACCACAACATGAAGCTCCCCAAATATAAATGCAGTACCCCAACAGGAATTCTAGGCTGAGAGAGCTCTGATAAGAAAAAAATTACAGAGAACTTGAAAAATCACTTAAATGCAGGCGCGTGTCACAAAAACATATGCTGCCCCACCCCCCAATATACTTCTGGGCTCTGCCTCCTTCATTTTAACTTGTTTATGTATGGTGCATAGGATCAGAGGTAGGTTTACAGATATTAATCCTGCAGTGGCTGCTAAAAGAATGACACCACCGCCCGGCTGGGCGTGGCTCAGCAGTTGAACATCGACCTAGGATCCAGGAGATCGGGGTTTGATTCGCCATCAGGGCACATGCCCAGGTTGCAGGCTCGATCCCCAGTCGGGGGTGTGCAGGAGGCAGCCCATCAATGACTCTCATCATTGATGTTTCTATCTCTCTCTCTCCCCCCCTCCTTTCCTCTCTCTGAAATCAATAAAGATATATTATAAATAAATAAATAAATAAATAAATAAATAAATAAATAAATAAATAATAAATAAATGACACCATTGTTCTGACATCAATTCTTTGACACCAACTACCTGGAGTTAGCATTAGACTCCACAGATTTAAGGATGCAGTCCTTAATACTGGCCCCACTTCAGATAAGATGCCAGTTACAAGTCTTACGGTGCCACTCATGCTTCTGATTGACCAGTTACAAATTTAGGGGTTCCCATACTCCCTCAGGTTTGATAATTTACTAGAAAAACTCACAGAAATCACTAAAAGCACTATACTTCACATTATAGTTCATTATAAAGGTATACAGCTTCCATGCCCTCTTCCCATAGGTTCAGAACAAATCACTCTCCTTGGATATTAGTGTGTTTACCAACCAGGAAGCTCCACAAAGCCCTGAGATTTCATTGGGGATTCCTTATGTATGCTTGATTAAATCATTGGCTACCAGATTGAACCCAAAATCCAGCCCTCCTTCCTTCTGTGGCCTAAAGTTCTAACTAATCAAGTGGTTAGTCCTTCTAGGGACCAGCCCACATCATGAAGTTATCTAAGGGCCCACCAAAAGTCCATCCATTAGCATAACAAAGACACTCCTATCACTCAAGAATTCCCAAGGTTTTTTGAAGGTCTATGCCAGGAACCAGGGAAAAAGTTTAGATATATTCTTTCCATACCACACCCTGTTTAAGGTAGTCTCTTTTGTCAAACTCTAAGACCACACAGACACAGACCAAAGACAACAGAGCTTAAGCTGGAAGACCTCTGAAAGACCATAATCTGAAAATTGGCCCCAATACTTATTATATTGCTGGAGAGTGGAGGAAAGAGGATAACAAAGAGGCAGGGGTAAGAGAGAAGGTAGTCCTAGGCCTCAATCTCTGTAATTTTACCCCGCATACCCACTTCTCAGTCCTAGCTTTTAAATGTAAACAGGAGGGTATAAAGTATTACAGCATAGTTTCAACTCTACTGAGAATAAAAATATGAGTAGCCTTAGGGAAATTAATTACTTACTAATGACACTTTCCTAAACTGCCTTGGTATCCAGCCTTGGGGCATCAGGGGTTCCCATGACCTCCTCAGGTGTGGAAAGATTCTGTTAGAAAGAAGACCATAACTTATCAAGGGCTGCTACGTAGGATGAGACCAAAGGAACAAGTCCAAAAAACTGGGCAGAGAGCAAAACACGTGGAAGAGAGCAAAGGGTCTGCAGAGGGGAACTTACGGGACCATCCATTAAAGCACTTTCTGCAGGTGTTTCCCAGAAAGATCCTACTCTGAAGCCTAGGACTAAAAATGGAAGGAACCTCAGATGGAGTAGCCACTTTTGTATTCCCAGAAGGGAGAGAGAGGCTGCCCAGGGCTGAGATCCAGAGATTCTCTTGGGAGTTGAAAGCTTGGCAGTATCCCAAAGAGAAATCCTCTGTCAGGGGCCCCCAGCATCTAGGTTCCCTCCTCCAGAGTCTGTCCCCAAACTCCCTTTCCTAGAGCTGCTGAAATTGAGATTCATTCCTCTCTTGCATTTCCAGGTAGCTGCAGCCTTGGAGCATAAGGCAGATGTATTCCCCAGCCCCCTCCTCTTCCACCCTCTCTCAATTTTGAGCTGGTCTCAGCAATCCCCATCCTCTGGAAAAGACAGAAAATAGAGTGGCGAATAAGTGGGAGGACAGGGGCATTGCTCGGGGTTCCCCTCTTCACACCTGCTCTTCCAGAGCCAGCATCACTGGTTTATATGAATCGCTTGTTCACGAAATGTCACTTCACGGTTTCTTAACTCCGGGCTCCCCTGATGCCAACTCCTTCCATGTGTCCACCTCCCACACTCACACCAAGAAACCCAGAATCACTCAATACTGGGCAGGGAGCCTGGCGGGGGAGAGGAGGGGTGTTCAGAAGGCAGGAGGGAGCAGGAGGGTCCCAGGCACTTCCAGTACCAGGATCTAGTTTCAGCCCCCACCTCCCGCAGGTGCCATTTCCGAGCACCCACCCTCTCAGCACCTACCTCCTCCTCTTCCAGCGACCACAGCTTCTCTCCGCATGTGCCTCCCGCAGGATGACTTCCTGCCTCTTGAGCTCCTGGACAAGAGACAGACCCAGCAAAGACGCTCGCGATGGCCTGCGGGACTCTTTGCCAACAAATGCTGTAATTCTGGTCACCTGAGACTAGTTTTCAAGCTGGTGCGGCACGGCGACACAGCCACCCACCGACAGTAACATCCTACGACTCCTCCCTCTGGAGTCTGTCAATCCTCAGGTGTACAGCCTTCGTGCCTCTTTTCCGTCGGACACACCTTTAGGCCCGCCCAAGGGAGAGCGCGGTCACGTGACCCGCCGCCAGCCCACGTGACCACGCAGTCGGCGAGTTCTCCTCAGGCCTGCGGCACCGAAGAGCGGAGTCTTCTGCCTCGGGGTTGAGTTAGGAGCTGGTGGAACCTGAAGCTCCTGACCGTGGTGAGGATGGAGAGCTAGAGGAAGGCTGGATTCGGAGCCAAAGATTCCAGCCCGAGGCCCGGGCCTTGCTTTTTGGGACCCCAGGGTTGGCGAGGAACACTGGATGCGGAGTTTGGAGACAAGTGACTTTGCATATTCTTTTTAAAATTCGGGGTGACATGTTAACACACACAGATCTGTCCTGAAAAATATTGCAAGGCAAAATAAACATTCAAAACTCCACCACAAGAATAATCCCTGTTAACACCTGTGGTTTGTGACGGGAGGCGAAACTGCCACTTTGCCTTATTTCCATAAACCAGCGATTTTCCACCGCTGCTGCACGAATTTTTAAAGCATACAATACCTGACTAATTAGGGGCACTGACCTCTTTTCCCTTGGATTGTCAAATAAAAAATGAGATCAGCCAACACAACAATAGCTATCCGGTGTGAATAAATCACAATCATACCTATTTTTTTTGGTCAAATTGGCAAAAAATTATATATTTTTGATGTGCCGCAGAATTTTAGTAGTTTATGTGTCCATGAGATGAAGAAGTTTGAAAATCGCTGCCATAAACCCTGAATATTAGAATGGAGGGAAAAGCATGTTGCACTGTCAGAAAAATTAGACAAATCTTGGGTAAAAGACAACATAGGTTACTGGATGTTACTTCAGTGCAGGGCTGGGCTTCACTTTCTATTGATTGAGCAAGTTTTCAATTCTGATAGGCTGATGTTACCCTGTAGATATTCTGTCCAATAGAAATGATTTATGTTCAGTGGAACAGATAACATAATGGCTACTATCATTGATAATATAAGGGCATTTATTGCCCTTATGATATTAACCAGTTTTGTATTTAACCCAGCAATGTTATCCTCACGTTTTCTATGCGTGTATGAAATTTAATATACTATATTTTGTTTTTATTATATTGTATATATTGTATACATTTACCTCCAACAATTTTTATAATCTTAGCAGTTCATTGTGCTGAAAAATATTTCACATGTTCATTTCTAATTTGAGTCATACTTTAACCTTTTAAAAAATTAACAGCATCCTCAGACAAAACAAACTTTTCCACCATGTCTAAAAATAATAAAATATATTTCTCATGGGTCTGGATTCCCACTCCAAACCATTTCTATCCCTGACTTCTGCAATTTCTATCAGAAAGTATGGTATGATCTTTTTACTTATTGTGTAAAATACACATAAAACGCATCACATTTAAGTGAACAATTCAGTGGCATTAAGTACATTCACAATGTTGCACAACCATCACTGTTATCTACTTCCAGAACTTTGTTGTCATTCCGAAAGGAAATGTTATCTTTTTGTTTGTTTGTTTGTTTTTTTAAAATATATCTTTATTGATTTCAGAGAGAGGACAGGAGAGGGAGAGAGAGATAGAAACATCAACGATGAGAGAGTCATTGATCGAGCCCACAACCCGGGCATGTGCCCTGACCGGGAATCAAACCCCGATCGCCTGGATCCCAGGTGGACATTCAACCGCTGAGCCATGCCCGGCCAGGCAGGAAATGTTATCTTTTGAATGTAATAGTTATGTAAAAAAGTTGCCATCTTTGTACAGTCGAGACTAATATAAACTTAGCAACCTTGATAATTTTTCTTTAAAGCATTTCATTTAAAAAAGCTAGGGTTTCCTAATTCTCATGGGAGCCCACTTTTCTAACTTTTCTAAGTGACTTTATAAATTCCTTCTAACACATATAGTTTATTCATTTATATAACTATACTTTCCAACATGCCTACCTATACCTTGAGGCACTAGAAGCAAGCACATTAAAACAAAAAAAAGCCCTGTTGTTAATTTTTCTATCTCCCTGATGTCTGTCTCTGAAATATTTTTTAGCATGGCAGATTTAATTCCAGGCTATGGAACATATGAAGTTTCTTAAAAGGTCGTATTGAAATTGCATAGATTTTGCATAAACTTGAGTTTATTCACACACGTTTTTAAAGTATGTATTATTCCATAGATGACGGTATTCTCTATTTCACCAGACATAAAAGCATCAGTGTCATTTCACGCCCCCTGCTGAGGATCAAGCCCGCAACCAGGGCATGTCCCCTGACCGGGAATCGGACAGGTAACCCCCTGGTACATGGGTCGATGCGTAACAGCTGAGCCACGTCGGCCAGGCAATAGATCATTTTTAATATCTACTTATGCATGGTATTGCCTTAATACTTTTCTTGGACTATGATCACAAAGAAAATCTTACTCCTGACTCCATTTAATTGGTTTGCTATCCTACCCTTTCATTCTTTCCGTAGCACTGAAGCAACACCTGCATTTTTTGAGTTGTAAAATATGCAGATTTGGCTGACTTAGCTTTCCAAACTGGCTTCAGTCCAACTGCATCCCGCAATAAACTTGTCTCACCTATTCCAGGCAGAGAGGATACATCCACACTACTAAAACAGATTTTCCAATATACACTTTTCTTACTACCACTGGTCACTTCCAAGAATGACCTAATGGTTTGTCTTATCCTACCCTTCAGTGACCAATTTAAGTGGGTCTCTCTTCTCTGAAACATTACTCAAGTACCACAGCCCACACAGTAATCTCTTCCTTCCTTAAGCTTCAGGAATGGAATTTTCCAATGAGGGTATGCTTGTCATACTTCTAATTATCTATGTTTATAAGTGTGCACAATGTACCTGCACCTGGATTTTAAAGTGAAGAAGGGTCACTTCTGCCAATTTTCACACAGAACTTTATTGAAAACACACTCAAATACAGAACCATATGTTTAAACAACAAACAGCAGGGTAGCTTACATAGGGAGACTCAGTTCATTGAAAGCTCAATACTGAAAAATACTGCAATCTGGACAGCAAGACAAATATCAACAAATATGTTTTCAGCTCTAATATTCATTTGGCATCCACAAAATGATCCAGCTCAAGCCAAGAATTGGACAAAGTTAACATCAGCATTAAAAATATAAGTTATAACACAAAACAAGACTGTGAAAACCAAAGCACTACTCAGGGCTCTTTGGGAACATAAAGCTGATGAGAGACAGGTGGTTAATCATATTAGTTTGGTTGTCCCCCATCAGGATTGTTTTGATTGTCTATTTGGGATTGTAGTTCCTTAGCTAAGCTCTCAAATTCGTGGAATGCAGAAATAAGCGGCTCAAGACTGAAATCATCATCAACTAACGCCATTGATCCATTTCTTATAATATTACTGATATTCTGAAACATTTTAATAACAATTTGAATATTGTCATGTGATTCTTGTAAGTTAAAGAGACCCACAAATACCGATAGAGCTTTGGCACTGAATAGCTTTTTTGCCACCATAGGATTTTCAGACATGTTCAACAACATTTTCAGGACGTAAAACTTCGTTGTTGCATTTCCTGTGACTAATAGGGAAAGAAACCCAGACATAAAATTGGCAACCAGTGTGTGATAGTCAGTAGTCATAGTGAGGTGTCTAAGGAGCCTTAATCCAAGAAGCTGCTCAGGGGAATCCAAGCTTCGTGCAAGGGTGTCCTCACACACTTGACATATGAATGTCTCAATCATGTTTAGATTTGGATAAGGTGGAGCCATGAGAATCATATTTTCCAAAAATCTTGTCCTAACTCTGGAGGAGGGATAATTGAGCAAGGTTTCAATAAGTGAGACAACACCTGAATCCCGAATGACATCTCGGGTAAACTGAGAAGCACTTCTTGTACCCATTGCGATTTTAGATATTTCCTGAATAAAAGGATCTCGAACTTTTTCCATTAACAGAAGGAGTTCCTCAAACTCTCCAGAACCGATTTTAAGCTCACACTGTATACAGCTACAGGACCAACTCTCAGGCTCTGCACTCTCCCTGGTCCTAAGATGCTCCCGAATTTCCCTGACTGACCGATAGGATGGTTCATACTGAAATGTGAACTGAGGGTCAGGCTGATTGGCCTGAGGGGAAGATTCCTCATCTTCCCCTTCCTCATTCTTGGGCTTTCCCTCAAACAGTTCAACGAATGCAGAGGATACTTCTTCAGGAATTCTAAAGGAGCTTGTGGATGGGAAGCCAACCGTATAAGGACCAGGTTTGTATTCAACAGTGACCTCTTCCCAGGTTTGGGGCCTGGATGATGTATTAATTTCCTCCTCAGCTGAATCTCTGAACCTGGAACTAGCCCTGTACACAGGATTGGGATTTAGGTCAAAGCAGGCCTCATCCCTGTCCCAGAACCAGGACCCAAATATAGCCTCTTCTTCAGACTCCTGCCAGGTCTCTTCTCTAGCCACAGCCCCCAAACTGGACTTTTCCTCAGTCCAGAACAAGGACCCACCAATGGCCCCCTCCTCATCTCCCGGTGTAGACTCACAGATGGCTGAAGCCCCAGCCTCCACACCAGCCTCTTTCTCTGCCCAGAACCAGGACCCAATGATGACATCCTCCTCAAACCTGGGCTCATGTTTGACCCTATTACTGTTATTACCATCTTTCTGGGCTCTGGGCTTCAAGACAGTATTAGGCTCCTCCTTGTCTCTGGGCCTAAATCTGCTATTGGCCTCTTCCCCAGGCAAAAACCAGGACTCCTTATAGTACTCATCTTCAGACTCAGATTCAAAAAAGTCCTCTCTCTTTGTCCTGAGCTTGGACCTAGCATTTGCCTCATCTCTGACTCTGGGTCTGAACAAGTTATTAGTATTTTCTTCAGGCCACAAGCAGAATGGGTTGCCAGACTCCTCCTCAGACCCAGACCAGGAATCAATATAGGGATCTTGCTTGGATCTGGGCCTAGACCTGGGGTTAGGCTGATGTTTTGCCCTGTGCCTGGACCTGGTATTGGCCTCTTCCCTGGGCCATGATCTGATATTGGCCTCTTCTCCAGCCCAGAGAGAAGACATCGTAGAGGTCTCATCTGCTGACCAGAATCCAGATTCATTAGATGCTTCCTCTCTGGCCCTTGGCCTGGGATAGCACCAAGACCCTGTATTAGTTTCCTCCCCTGATCCAAACCAAGGTTGAATTCCTGACTGACCCTGGGAGCCAGGAAAGGTCTTGGGATCCACATTTACCAGTTCCCTATCTACAGATAGGGCCATAGGTTTAGCAACTGACCCGGACTCAGTACTGACCAGTGGCCAGGCTGCTGCATTGGTCTGGGGCATGTCCTCTGTTTGGGACATTGCCTCAGCTCCAAACTCAGTCTGGGCCCAAGCCTGGGCTTCATCCTTGGGCCTTGCCCCAGGGATTGCCTTGGCCTCAGTTTTAGGACGTGCCCCACCTACTGCCCTGGCCTCGGTTTTGGGCCTTGCCCCAGCCACTGCCTGAGGTTCAGTTTTGGGTCTTGCCCCAGACATTGTCTGGGCATCAGTTCTGGGCCTTGCCCCAGCCATTACTTGGGAATCAGTTTGGGGTCTTGCCCCAGCTTTTGCCTGGGACTGAGTTTTGGACCTTGCTCTTTTCCCTTTCATAGCCTTTGACTCAGTTTTGGGCCTTGCCCCAGGCATTGCCTGGGCCTGGGTCCTAACCTTGGGTCTGACCACCATCGGGACGTCATTCTCTCTCTCAGCTCCACCTCCAACCTCTTCTCCAGCCTTCTTTTCAGGCTTGGCTTGGGCACTAGGCTCAATCTCAGCCCCAGTCATAGTACCAGTTATAGAAAAGTGTTAAATATCAGTAGCACAGTCTCAGCCTCTATGACGGATGTGTCGCAATTCTGTATCTTCACACTCTGATTCTTCAGCGATTCAGACGATACAGTTAGAAATGAGTTAGAGTCAATCACCAGTCCAGCAGTTAATAAGGCTCCTTCCCAAGATCAGCTCAGCCAATATTACACACAAGAGTGCAGAAGTGGCACAACCAAGCTGGGGGAGAATGGATGCTTGCCAGATGGATGCTGATCTGTTGAGGGTAGTGGTCGTCAACAATTTCAACACCACCAGAGCTGCCACTAGAGGTGAATCTAGTGAGAGAGATCAGCATGGGGCTTTGAGTCTCTTCTAACTGTGTCACTCCAAGTGGAGACTCACACACAGAGATTGGACCTTGAATTATTGGTGGGGCTATTTGGCTATTAGAAAGTCTGTCACCCTGATTGGCCCAGAGATGCCACAGACTTGGCCTGCCACAAAATAGGTGTGAGGCTGGTGGAGAAAGTATGTTGGTAATGGGGCTAAGGAGCCCCTAGACTAGGCCCTAATCACCTGTGGACCTGTGTTAGTCTCCACTACCCCCCTAAGTTTTACCCACTCCCATACCAACCTGCTCTGATGTGGTGCAATATCCTCCTCCTTGCTCTGTTCCAGCGGTATTAAGCTGTACAGCAGACAGCAGGCTGTACTATGACCAAGTAAATATACAGGAGAAAATGAAGTCTGAGTGCTTAGTTGACAGGCAGACACCCTGACCGCTGATGCAAACATCTCTCTTTCTGTTTAAGGCTCAAATTTTTCTAACATTTCCTGTCTGCTGGTTCCTAACCCAAGGTTTTCTCTCATTCACAGCCCAATCCACATGTACCCAAATATTTCTAATACCTCCTGCAGGAAATGGACAAAAGAGGCTGTGGCAGTGTGCAAATCTGGCAGAGCAGGAGAGGTGGATCACAAAGACCTGCCATGATCTTACTCAGTCGTTCCCTGCATTGCCCCTCTTTGCACCAACCTGCAGAGAACTGAGTCTGTCTCCTCCTCCTTTCCTTCTTTGCAGAAAGTGACCAGCCTTAAAGTAAGCCTATGAACAAACAGACAAAAAGATAAGACAGTCAGGAGACCATGGTAGAAACTGAGCACTTGATTGGAGTCCAACTCCAATGATGGGAGTCCACGTTATTTGTCTTTCAACATTTAGAGTCCTCTTGGCCAAATATTCTCGTTTTTATCAAGTCCCTCTGTTTCAGGATTCCAGATAAGGACATCTTTTCCTGACGTCACAGTCTTCCCATTGCTTCTTTCTCCAATTCTGAGGATTCACCACTAGGTGCACCACATCCCTTTGCCTTGCGTAGCATAAATTGGGGGAAGGGTGCCCACATATTCTAGAAAACAGGTTGTGTAGTGGCACTTGTAATTATGACTGTCTCACCCTTGCCTCCGAGTCCATCTTTTTCTGCCCACAATTTTGGTTGGAATTAAGGAAGTCACAGAAGTACCTAGAAGCTGGTACACAGGAGAACTAAGATTTATTCCTGGATGCCTGAGCTGTTATGGTCTCAGTAACCCCCCCAATTCGGGTCTGCAGTCAATGGTTGCTGCCCACCAACCCCCATCTCCACACACCTCCAGAAATCCAGGCTATTTTCCTGCTTCAAATTTTTCTCAAGTCCATCCTCTACAGATGCACCCTGCCTCCTGAAATCGCCAGACCTACCGCGGAGACATGAGACTTTGACATCAACGAGGCGCCTGTGGGAAAGGAGAGCACCCAGGATGCTGGGCCCAACAGGCCCCTTTCCAGATTCAGGGCCCAGAGTAGCCGAAGCTAACGTCTGCGCCCTGGCGCTCCCACCTCCAGCCCAGCTCCCGCTCCGCCATTTCTCCCGAAGCAGCCCCCCCTCCAGCGCTCTCCCAGCACAGACACCCTAGAGGGCGGGGCGCGGGCGCCGGGAAAGCCGGCTGGGGAGCAGCCAGCGTGCTTCGCCTTCCCCGCAGGAGCCGCGGGCACTCT